GCTCAGGCCGGTTTCGAACTCCTGAGCTCAAACAATCCGCCCGCCTCGGCCTCCCAGAGTGCTAGGATTACAGGCGTGAGCCACCACGCCCGGCCCATGGGAATTTTTTAATTTTGCATTTTCACATTGATATTTCCATCTATCTATCTACACTGTACACATTAGGGGTCAACTGAATGACCGCCTTATAATCAAGTTAATGCCACACAATGTCAATGCCTGCATTTGTGTCTGTCTGTAACCAAAGAACATAATTTGACAGTCGTAGGTGAACAAGAATGGACATGTGGTTAATGACAAGTTCACAAGGGAAGGCCAAATGACCAAAATTGTAAGGATATAAATTTCAAAGTAATTCCAATAGAAAAAAGTGCAGCGGAGTATGTAACCCCACGTCACCAGCTGTAGAGCTATATGAACTTAAAAAAAATTTACACCAAAGCAGCACCATATTGATACTTTGAATGGTAGCTAAATTCCATCAAAACAGTATCACCTATCGACTAAATGCATACAATTATATAGGTATATATTTAATTTGTAGATTTGGCTTAGGTCAATAATGGGGACTGGTAAGTTTTTTTTTTATTATTAAAGGTTCTCAAGGTTGAGAAACACTGATTCCACTGAACTCCAGGGACAGATGCATGTGAGTCATCGATGGTCATACAAAGCAGCAGTATCTTCCTCTGTACTAGTATCTTCCTATAGTTCCCCAAGACCAAATCCATCTCTCCCTGCTGTGGCTTTCACAGCATGGCATTACTTACTCTAGGACAGAGATAATTGTGTATGCGGGAGACTCTTCCACTACCAGCTGAGTAGTGGGGCATAGACTGAGCCCCATCTGCCTCCCACAGGGTCTTGCACAGAACGAGTGGCCACCCAAGTTCTAAGGAACGGGACTGAAGTACACCAACATAGCACGGTGCAGCTGGCACTGGTGGTCTCCACTTTCTCAAGCCCATCAGTCTACATCTAGGGCAGTGATTCTCACAATGTGGTACCTCAACTGGCATCACCATCACCTAGGAAGCTGTTAGAAATGCACATTCAGAGGCCTCTCCCCAGAATTGAAACTTTGCAGAAGGACCTGGGGTCTCTATTTTAACAAGCCCCCCAGAGGGTTCTGAGGCACAGTCAAGTCTGAGAACCACTGCTCTAGAAGGGAGGCAGGCTGTGGGGGAGAGACTTCCTGCCTCTGTCCGAGGTTCTTCTGCTCGAGTTGCATTTGTGTTTGCATGTGTTACCTACATGTGTAAGTGTGCAGCCCTAGGGTGTCTCCGTGTGCTCCTCATCTTCCACCTACAAGTGGGTAGGCCTGTCTGTGAGGACAAACCAAAACCAGAGCCTTCGAACAGGGCCGTTTTGAGGAGGAGCTGGGATGTTGAGGGTGAGGCTGTCCTTCCCTTGCAACTGAGTAACACTTGCTAACTTTTGCTTCTTCCCTGCTACATTTCCTTTCTCTCCATCACTTTAGAGTCTTCTTCCCCTCCCCAGCTTTCCTTCTTTTAATCTTTTTTCTTCTTTTGTCTATCTCTTCTTCCCAGACACCTTTTATTTCTTAAAAAAAAAAAAAAAAAATTAATGACCAATGATGCCTCTGTTACTCAAAAGATAGAAACATATTAATCTACTACATTGAAAAGTATATGACAATACTTTGGGTATCACTTCACCATCTGCCTACCTCCCACTCCAAGTCCAGACAATGTACACCTCCCCGCAAAGACCTTCTTTAGCAAGGCTGCTAAAGGGTCACACGGCAAAGCATAAGCTCTTAGCAAGGTGCAGCATTTGGCCAACACAGAAATTTCAACATGTTGACCTTAGCACAGTAGGCCAAGACCTGGATAAAATTACTTCAAAGGTTTGCTCTTCTGCATTACTCTTAAGCTTTCATAATCTAAGCTTAAAAATGTCAGAATTAAAGGAATAAATGAAATGCCCCTCAGAGAGCTCTCAATCCTCTGTGGGTTTACCCTAACTCTAAGTGTCGTTGGGCCTCAAAATTCTTCAGTAAGGTGCTTTAGCACTACCTTACCTGTCATGCAATTAATCCATCTATACGTGAGTGGCAGTGTTGTCCCCTGATATTTCAATGTTAATGTCACTAATTTTGGGGGCCTTTTTGTAAATGGCATACATATCAACTTCTGTAAAATAAGTTTCTTTAACCATCTCTTCAAAGAAGAATCTTATAATTGTCCACACCATAGCCACCAATGCACATGGACTAAGGTATAAGGTTTCTAAGCGGAATGCACAGGCAACATGGTATGATAAAATGCAGGATGTAGAGGACTGGACTCATGATGGCAGCTGATGCTCTAAGGCATGCATTAGGGGCGTGCGCCAGCAGATCCCAGTCCCCAGCCAGGCATGCTTGAACATACAGAGCACAGGGCGTAATGGGGGTCATGTCCATTCACCAGCCACAAAGGAGCCAAAGCAAGCCTAAGGGAAGCCAGGACGACAGACGCTGCTTGGAGAACTAGACCAGCCTACAGACGGCAATGCTGAGGGGAGGCAGATATTGCTTTGGGTCAAGCAGCAGATCGAGGTGACCAAAACAGACCTCTGACCCAGATTTCCTTTTTGCAGTATCGTCTATATTGAGAAGGTCCCCAAAGCGCTCATTAGTGATAAACTGATGGTGCGTCGGGATGACGCCCGTGTGGCGTCGAGCTGCAATATCGGCCTCTTCTTGCTCGCGCTTAAGTCGTCTCTGGTCCGCTAAAAGTTTCTGCCATAAAATTGCATAAAATGGGCAGTGAATCATCTGGTCCAGGGTATTGGAAAACTGCCAATAAAAGCAACTAAGGAAGAAGGTGGGTGAACGGGGAGGAGACTTTTTAAGGGTCAGCTGTCAGCAGGGCTTTAGGCCACAGCTACTATGTTCCCACTGTAACCACCCTCGGAAGGAGACAGCACAGCACAGGAGAAACCTGGGGAAGCTGGGATACATGGAGGGAGGATTTCACATGATTACACCAGCCAAAAAATTATCCCCTGGCCCAGCCAAAAGCCTCCTGTGCCCTGTCAGCAAAGGCAAGGTAAGCCTGGGGGTACATCCAGGGCATTCCCAAGCATGCTGGGCTGGCAGCAGGAGGCTGGAAGTGCCATCTCTACTCACTTAGGCAGTGATACGCTACCACAGTGTATTCCCATAGTGGGACCAGGCCCGTTAAACCTGCTATTATGGGCTTTGCTGTAGGGGGGGGTCTATGGCAAGTAGGTCATTTTTGTGCTTCCTGTGTTTATTACTCTAATATGTTCCCCACAGAATGGAACCATTTCAGAAAATATGGCACTTCTTCTCCCAGGCCAGCCGACTCTTTCCCTGGGCACACTTTTCAGGAGGTTTAGTATATTCACCAAAGGCTACTTATGTGGTTGACAGAGAACATCAGTTACTTTCTTATTGAACTATTTCTTCATTAGGTGAAATGAAGCTGAGTTTAAAGGAATGATATATTTTAACACAGAAAATAAACTAAGAATAATGGCACCTGGGGTTAGAAGAAATATTCTCTCCTATATTAAGAAAATAGTCATTTATTTCTATTTTTAAAAACCTTTAAAAATTATCAAACCATGTTGCTTTTTACCAAATGTCCTCATTGCCTGTGGAAATGACTTTATGGAATAGCATTTTAATGTGTTTTCTTATACCATAGCAATCTTACATTCCTAGGATTAACTTCCCTTATAGGAAAGTATTAATTAGAACTGATTATTCTTTTTATTTTTTTTTACAGATAGAGTCTCACTCTTTTGCCCAGGCTGGAGTGCAGTGGCATGATCACAGCTCACTACAACCTCAAATTCCTGGGCTTAAATGATCCTCCCGCCTCAGCCTCCTGAGTCACTGGGACTCCAGGCATGTACCACCATGCCCTGCAGCACTGATAATTCTTAGCATGCTCAATAAAATATTAGTCCTTTTCCAGCAGGGAATTAAATGTCTCATGTGACATCCAGCCCTAAAGGATAGTAGGCCTGATTTTTCTCCAGGGTCTACAAAGTGATAACTCATCAAACAGCTGTGGGATTTCTAACGCTCAGGTAAGTTGTTATAAAGATTACATGAGAAAAGACATGGGAAATTCCTTTGGAAAGCACAGTGCCATGGAAAGAGCATTGGCCCAGGAATCTGGAGCCCTGATTTCCCACTCTGCCTTTGGAATAGGTTAACTTACCATGTGGCCCTGGGTAAGCTGCCACCCTGCTGTGATCCTTTCCTGGACAAAACAAGGGAGTTGGCTACATGACCACTAAAGTCCCTTCCAGGACTGACATGTTCTCATTTTCTGAAATGCCATTATCATCCACGTTAATGATAAAGCATTCACATAGGGGACTGACACCCCTTGAGCTGGGACTCGTGAGCTGTTGCTGTAACAATGGGAATGGATTGATGCTTGAAGCTGCCATAGTCCTTGCTCAATACCCCTGGTGTGTTCTGGCCAGGGTTAAACATAATCAGTGGAAGTGGACATTGAATGGGGCAAAGCTCTCAACCTAATTCTTGAATCTGACCTCAGTAAATCCATCGGGCCTGTAGTTTAACCACATAAACCAATAACCACAGATAAAGACACAAAATGTTTAAGGATCTATCAGCCAGTATTATACAGGAAACAAACTGTTCATCTTCTACATGCAACTTCTAATATACCAATTGCTACACCATGTAAGTAAAATACGCCCCCTGTGTGGTAGGCATGAATTCTCCCACAAAACCTTCCACGTTGGGTACTAGGGTTTCTCTAACTAAAATGGAATTTCATCTCCCTTCATCATAGCAGCCCAGGCCTACATACACGGGAATTTGTATCCTGGTGACATCAAATACTTAACAAAGAGCTACAGAAATGAATCTGTTCTGTGGTCTGATGGACACTCATCATTAGTGAGTGATTACAAATAATGACTGTGTATTAAATACTTCCTCTTGTTTCTTTCTATGGACACGTGCAAATGTCCTATTGAACACTGATTGTGCTTGGAGATGGGAAAAGGTATGGTGGTTTCTTTTTTGTCTTTAGTCTCATCATCTGGCAGCAATGATTATTATCATGCAGCTCTTCCCAAAGTTGGCCTCACCCTAAATCCTTAAGGAAGCTTCACCTAAACTCTAGAACCACTCAACAAGACAGAACAACAAAGAAAAAGGGCTTCAGACTTTAAAGGGAATGGGACAGAGTTGTGTGAACACGAACACCCTCCCCGACTGCCACCCATTCAAGGTGATTTTCCCATCTCTTTGGATCCATCTTTAGAACCCTTTCTTTGGGGGAATGTGAAGGCCAGAAGTGTGCATAATAACAACGCTTTATCACAGCAGAAGCTTGTGATTTAGCCCATTTGGCTGATATGCAGAACTGCCTCTTCCTAAATCCGTAGGAGAATGGGCTCCTTCTAGACCCTGCCAGTCACACCACTGCAGACAGACATCTCAGTACCTGCAAGAAAATATCCACATTCTGAAGTTCTTGGCTGGGGTTTACCAATGTTTATTAGGGTATCTTCCCTCTTCTGAGCTAAAGGCAACAGAGTTATAGGCAACTCCCTCAAATTCTTTTATAAAAGGTACTGTGGCCATTACTATTTTTCATTTTCCTCTTTCTTCTACTGCATCCTTCCCAATTTGAACTGTGCTTTGTACTAACAGAGGGGTTGGTGGATTTACTTAGAGAACGTGGGGGAGGTTGAGGGGGGGATGAAAGAGCAAAGTGCTGTTTCCAGCTGATAAGGCACTGAACGCAGGAGTAGGCAAACTTTCTGTACCTCCCATGCAGCAGTGCTGGCTGGACTTGGCATTTATAACCTAGTGCTTGTGTGGAAATCAGTCCTACTTTTTTGGAAAAGTAGACTAAAAGAGGAGTGATTGAGGCTATGTCATAAAAAGCCACGTATGAAAGTCCCAATCTTTGCTTCCAATTACCACATCATGTCACCTCTCTGACAGACATCTAGAATGTTTACCTCCCTTGTACTTTTTTCCCGAGCAAGAACTAAGAGATTTAAAAGATGGGATTTACCTCTTTATCATCATGACGTCTTCGAATAAATTCTTCTGTGGATTCCAAGTAATCAGCTGGTATAAAATGTCTTGGTGATTCTGAATCTTCAAAACAACAGAGTGGAGTTAAAACAAGCAAAGATTTAGTGGGAAACTAGGTTGGGAAAAGATTTCACCTTTCATCTACTATAAATATCAAGTTTTTATAATCATTGTTGATTAATGATCAATAATCAAATTCTGAAGGGAGAAAACTCAAATCTTCCCCCCCACCCCCACTTTCCAGATTTACTTGTGAACTACTTTAATACAAAGAAAACTAATCAGAAGGCGAAAGGTGAGCAAAGAGGGAGGTCTCCCTACAGAGAGGCGTGCAGGATCTCACAGGGACAAACCGCACACTCGCACACACAGGGCCGTGAGAGAGGCTGCCTCTCAAAAAACCACGGGTGAGCAGGGGATTGGTGCAAACTGCAAGGGGCTCAAGAGTTCAAATGAACAGATCTCTTGGATGAGCTAAACGGCCAATTTTTCTTTCGAAACACAGTTTGGTGGTTAGTCTAAATGACATGGGGGGGCTTTGTTTTTAAAGAAGTGCAGCCACTACGAGCCATGATCAGTTGCCAAGCAAAACAAACAGAAAACAAAGGACGGACCAGAAAGTGAACACCAGGGGCACACCAACGGGGACAAAGCAAGCAAGGTGGAGAGACGGGGAATGAGACTGGTCAAATACACAAAACGCCACCTCCGCAGGGTGGTGCCAGTTCACTGTGGGGGTTGTTGTTCCTGTCCAGGCCGTGGTCTGAGTGTGGCGCAGAGTTCCCATTATTAATGGCCCTCGGGAAATCCTCCGGGACCGTGGGTCTCTCCCGAGGGGGCTCTGAGCTGCGGCTAAGCCTGGCCATGGTGTGGCGGGAAGACAGGCGTATGGGAACCAAGGGCTTCCCTGCAGAGAGGGGCTGGTCCTGGTGGGGCTGGCTGGGGAGGTCTGGCTTCTGGCCCACCGGGAGACTGGAGGAGTCACCAAGGGAAGGCTGTCTGGGATGGTGCTGGAGGGGCTTTTTCAACCGAAAAGGGAGGGGGCTCATTAGGTAGATGTTCCTGAGGAGGGTGCTCTTGTCCCCTCTGGAATCCAGGCGCCAGTCGGGCTGTCTGGGGGTCTGCTGCTGCTCATGCTTCCGGATGGTGGTGAAGCGGGTGTACGAGGCTGGGCAGGTGCCCTTGCACTTATTGAGGCGATGTTTGGGGAAGTCCCCATGAACACTGCCGCTGCTGCCCTCTCTGCTGTCATTGGAGGCATTTGAACAGTGGTCCAGGTCATCAGAGCAGGTGGAGAGGGGCTCAGAAGGCACAAGGCCCCTGAAGCCCAAGGTGTGGTCCTCCATATTGCTACACGCTGGGGAGGCATAGACCCCACTGGAGTTCATTCTGTCCATCTCCTTGGGATGGAGCTTGGTTGACTCGAGGAGGGACTCGGCTGAGCGGGCCGAGGTCAGGCCGCCCCGGGGCAGCACAGGTGTGGGAGACTTGCTTAGCCTGCCGGACAGGTCCAGGGACGGCATGGACCGCGACCGCTGAATGAGCTGCTCAAAAGCAGTAATGCGGGAGGACACAGTGTGCTTGGGGATGTGCTCCGAGCCCTCCTGGCTGGGGCCTAGCTCACCCCCGGCCAATGCCAGGCTGCTCCTTTCAAAGTGGGAGGCAAGATCCCGCACACTAGAGGAGGAAATGGATCCCAGGTAGAGGCCAGCTCGGTTGATCTGGTGCATGTCCCGATACAACATGGTGAACTGCATCCCAGCCTTTCTCGAGAGAGGGCAGGGCCTCCTGGCGCTGGTGCTGTACTCCTGGAGGCTCATGGTGCTGCTCGACTTGCTGTCATAATCCCGCCGGGAGCGCATGAGCAGATTCTCGATGCTCCCTCCGACTTGGAGGGGGAGGCCTCTTTTAGAATCATTCAAAGAAATCGAAACACAAAGGTTCTCACAGCTCTGAGCCTTCTCTGAGGGCAACAGGACACTCTTCTGTTCCTGCAAAATAGTGCTGGGAGCAGAGAGCCTGGGTTTGAATTTGGAAGGAAGGATTTCCGAAATGCAGGCTTTCGCAGCCGACAGGGGCTTCTTGTGCTTACACACGGGGCCTAACGCACTGCTAGTGTTAAGTGTTCGGCTATGAACTGAAGATGAAGTAATCATGTGAGCATTCCCACCTTTACGATCCACTGGTAAGCATGCAGAATAAAATAAACACACCCATTAGGTTAAAGCTGAAAGCTGCTTAAAAAATAAAGGAGAGGTAACATGCTCATTTGTCATAAGGGCTTCTAAAAAATTTCCAGTCGATGTCCGGAAGCAAAATAATCTGTGCTGCAAAGCAGGTGCAAAGATGCAACAACAAAAAAAAGGCCACCCCGCTGGAGTAAGGAATGGCTAAAGCTCAGCTAATTTCTAAGAAAAGGGAATTAGAACAAAAGAGAGAGAGAGAGAGAGAGATGCTTCATGGAGAGCAAGGTTGGGGGTTCGAAAGAAGGGAAACTTCTAAACCAGAAAGAAAAATGGCCGGTGAGAAAATAGGGGAGGGAACATCAGAGGGCTTCGGGCCTGGATATAGGTCTGGACAAGTAGACGTATCCCCGTTGCTGGAGGTTCACCCGCTGCTGACGCTCAGTAAACGGGGATGGACGGGACACAGAGGCCCGCAGGCTTCACCCAGTTGATTACCTTTAGTGGAAGCCGAGCTGGACGGCCTCTTGAGCCCACTGAGGCCCTGAAGAGGGATGTCACCACCTTCCAAAACACTTTTGTAAATCTGTCTCTCATTCTCCAAGCTAGCCAGATCCCCAGGAGCCCCATCTGATTCCCTCTTCACTGCATGGAAGTTGGAAGAATATATACTATGAACAAGGTCATTTTAAAAGAAAGAGAAAAAAGGAAGGGAAAAAAAGACAAGAATAGGAGTTAGTTATTTTTAATATTTTTCTAAAAAGTACATTACCTGTTGATGACAAGAAATACACTTCCTGGCATCCTAATCAAGCACTGTCCTTTCTCAAGAGCATTCTTATTTAGACACAGATTTCTACAGACAAGGCAGGCCCATGGGTCCCTGAATGCCCAGGAATCTTGTCCAAACAGCAAAGTACTCTAATTGAGATGACTGTATTTGTGCTTTAAAAGAATAATTCTGTGAAACACTGCCACTGGGGAGGAAGGGCTGGAGGCGGTCAGGGGAGGGCAGGAGTGAGGGGGCTACACCAAGACGGTGCAGGCAAGGACACGGGTGGAGCCGCTGACACGGAGCCAGCCAGTGTCGGCTACTTCAAGTCCACTACTTGGATTATTTTTCTGGGTTATTCTTCACAAGTGCTTTGGTTGATGGAATATTAAAATCAGCAATGGAAGGGAGAGGCCCAACTGTCTTGGGTCTCCAGGAAAATCAGTGACCGAGTGAAATTGGAATGTGGGATTCTATGTGCTCTTAGCATCACAGCCCAATTTTGCACTCACTTCTTTCAACGTCTGTTCAGAACCTTATGACATGTGTTATGAGCATAAACTATTGCTCATTTCTATCCTTCGTTTGTTTTTATCCTGATAAAAATCAAGGTATTTTTGCAAATTATCACAAATTCTTTTTGGAATGAGGTAGGGCACACACAGAAAAGTTAAGAGCACTTACTCAGCTGCTCCCTTCCCCTAACCCCACCAAGCCCTCACCCAGTGACGCACCGTCACTGACACGCATACACACGTGTACACACACTCTTCTCAGGTAAGTGAATGACTCCTTTCCCACAAACGTACATAGGCTTCTGCTGGGCTGCTTTTAATCCTACTGAACTCAGTTTACTGGAATCAATACGAATTTTTCAGCTCTGAAGACCCACAGCTAGGTGAAATTCCTTCACTCAATATTATCTAATGTAAAGAACAGCTTAAAGAATTACAAGAGTGAACACCCATAGCCCCCCACCTAGATTCTACAAGGGACACAAGCTGCATTTGCTTCACCACACATCTACTCAGTCTTTCCCTCTATCTAGCCGTGAACGATGGAATCTTTTTACATTCCACAGAGCCAGCCTTTCCTTCTGTGTGTGACCACAGCCTTCGAGTCCCATGGTCACAAATGATGACAGCAACAACTCCACGTGCTGCGTGGTGAGGCGTCCTGTAGGGGAGGCCCTGTGCTAACTGCCTGTTCATCGTTCTCTCTTTCATATCCTCAGTCCTACGTCTGTTGTTTTTCAGATGAGGAAACAAGGCACTGAGAGATTCAGTAACTTGTCAAAGCAGGCAGGTTAGCAGAATGGCAGGGCTCGAACTTTAACCACATCGTCGGATGCCACTATCCTAGATATCACACTTCCCTAAGACCGAGGAGGAAAAGGCTCGCACAACACAGGACCCAGAGGGAGCTCAAGGATGCTCCAGTTCTGTTTATGTCACTACTGCCGAATGTCACCTGTCATGAATACACCCCTAGGACAAGTGGCACCAGAACCCAGGAGTCGGAAATGGAGAAGAGGCGGGGACTTTGGTAGAACACTGTGATGTCTCCCTCAGAGCAGTGAAGTCCTCGGAGCAAAACTACTGCTTCTGGCATGGGTAGTGCCCCTCACAGGAGCTGCCACTTGCCAAGCCTTACCTTGTGCCCAGCCCTGGCTAAGGGCTCTACATGCCTATTTCAGGGGACCAGTAGATGAGTCTCAGCCAATCACATCAGTAGAACTTCAGCCAATCACAGGCTGCCAAAGGATTAGCCCCTGTTCATATAAGGCAAATGCCTCAGCACAGCATGCCCAAATAAGGCAAACTCTGAGTGTAACCAGTCAAGCTGTTTCCATAGTGACTTCCTTTTTCTGTCTATAAATGCTGTCTGCGCAAGTTGTTGGGTGGAGCTCTTTGAACCTCTCCTGATTTTGAGGGCTGCCCAATTCATGAATTGTTCTTTGCTCAAATAAGCTCTGCTAAATTTAATTTGTCTAAAGTTTTTCTTTTAATAGGAGTGACTCTGACAGCTGCCTCCATCCTGCTGCCCCTGCTGTCCTTTGAACTGTCTCACCCTTGGTCAGAACTTCTAAGCAATCTTTCCAAGTTCCTCTTAAATCTGTTCTGTCAGGATTCTCGGCCATAACCGGGACCTCCCACTTGCTCTACCTCATTAGCAGTAAGAACTCACTCCACCCTAGCCACCTCACTTTCTGGCTTTATTCCACTCATTATCATAATTTTTTCCTGCTTCCCACCAGAACGACAAACCAGCACTCAGGAAACCTCTCAGAATGAATTTGCTACAGCCAATTAATTGTTTTCATTCTGATACCAAAGCTAACAAAACATGCTTTTTCCAGATGTGTAACATTTTGTAACTGAGATACTCCTTGTTTAAAAACAACATCTAAGAGCTCTAGAACAATGTTTTTAAATATATCACATCCATCAGCTCTTCTAACATTGGAAAGAGAGATCATCTGTCTCACTATACAAAAGGGGAAACTGAGAACCAGAGTGTTTAAGGCATTTGCCCAAGGTTGTAGAGTTGTTGGGTCCAGGCTCTGTCCAAGTAGACCAGAGAGGACAAGAGAAGCAGCCTTATACCCCTAGCTAATTGAGAAAGGCCCAATCAGGATTAGCAGCTACTTATTACTAATACTTAACAAAACAAGTTAAATTCAGAAGCTCAGCTCTGAGCAGCCTGGATTGACCCAGCACAGACAATTCAGCCTCTGGCTAAGATGCAGAGCTGGCTGCTGAGTTTCAAGGAGATTCAACAAAAACACTCACTGGAAGAATCAAGTGAGAGAACAGAGCAATCATCCTGGGGCCAAGTGTTTCCACCAGGCTCTGGAGGCCGTGGACAGGTCCTGGAGACTGGGATTCCAGCCCAGCTCCAACGAGGAATGCGGATCAGCTGAGGCAAACCAGCTCTGTTTAAAAACTTGCAGTCTGTCTCTCTCGGCCTCCATTTCTTTCATCTGCAAAACTGATAAGGCAAGGTGAGACTGTCCAAGAAATCTACCTGCAAATCTGTTATCTGCACAGACTTTTCTCTTGAGCTCCCGACACATATGATTCAACTGCCTTCTAGACATCTCCACCTGCATGTTCCTCAGGCAACATGTCCCAAACCAAACCCAGTTCTGCTCCTCTATCTCCCGTCACCCAAGCCAGAAAGCCCAGGGAATCAGTCCCCCTGCTCCTCAATTATCAGTCACCAAGTCCTGCTTCTTCCCCGTCCACAACACAGCTCACATTAACCCCATTCGCTCTCCACCTCCCTGGTTACCGCCTCACCCTTGCTCACCTACAACCCTGCAACAAGCACACACGCCTTCTCTCACCCAGCCGCCAACCCTGACTCCATCTGATCATCTCTGCAGATCACTGCCAGTGATATTTCTAGAAAATATCTCATTATGTCACTCCACTGCTCATTTATTCACTCAACAAATATTTACTGAGCACCTACTAAGTGTCAATCACTCTCCTAGGTGGAGACTCAATAGGGGACAGAATAGACAACACATTCCAGCCTCACAGAGCTTATATTCATCATTCAAAACCATTCAGTGATTTCAGAAAGGAAAAAGAAAATGTTAACTGTGCTTTGGAATAGGAAGCCTAGAAATCCTCTAGAAGTTTCATCTTACAGCCTTTTGTATCCCATGAAAAAATTATTTTTTATGATGTTATTGTTATTCATGTTTTATTTACAGCTCCTCTATAAATAAAGACCTTTGACCTTCCCTCCTCCGCAAGACAAGAGGTGCTCACTTCCCCCTGGGTCCCATCGTTACCTTTGCCACATTGGATTCTGGCTATTTACAAGTCTGTCTTCCCCATTACACCCCAAACCCTTTGAGGTCAGATAGTTTATTAACCTTTGCATGCCTGGTACCTAGCATGATTGCTCAATAAATATTAGTGGAATAAATGAGTCTATAAAATTAAATGCCTACATGCACACAGATGTTTGACACATTTTTAAGGTCCTGGAGAATCTCTAATGTTTCATATAGTTCTTCAGGTTATAATTTGTGTTTTGTTCTTAGATTAAAGGGAAAAAGTGCTCTCTTTGGAGTACCGCCACCATCTAGGAAAGAGCAGCTTCTTCTTGAGTGCCACCCGCTGGCCAAACAGAGTAAAGCTCTTTGGTTAGACGCTAATCAACGCTGAAATGCTAATGAAAATAATGAGTAGCTCCCACTACTGATTTATAGATCTGATGTTATAGATCTGTGATGGTAACTATAAAAATATATTTTATATATTTAGGGAAAGGACTGGTAGTTGTATTAGGATATTGGGATTATGGGTGAATTTCTTCCTCTCTGTTCCCAGGTTAAGTATTTGTGATATGTAATCAATGTTAATTAATAAAATTCTAAACTGCAGTCTGCCCAAGATATGAAAGTGGCACTTCTCCAGTTGCCACAGAGCTGTGAACTTGGGTTATCTTCTTTGATCCTTCGGTTAGGTCAAGTCCTTCCAATGTTTCCTTCAATACATCATTCCTGTCCATCCAGTGGAGGGGGCCAGATTCAGTACAAACATGAGACTGGGTATAGGAAGGCTCAACTAGGGCCTACTTACATAGGCTAAAATGTTTGCTGTTTACCATGTATATAACAGGGGGTAAAGGTAGCATTGAACATTTTCAGGTAAGATAACAGCTGCATGGCAAAGTCCTGAGGAAGGCAATCTGCTGGAAGATTCAGGATGGTTGGGGGTGGGGAAAGGAGGCTGGTGGTTACCCCATGAAGAAGTGGGCACATCCAGGCAGAGACCTGAGAATTGGCATAAATGCACATCTCTGTGAGGATCAAGTAAGTTAGCCCCCTCTTGGCTCCACCTTCTCCCGATCCCGCCATGCCTCCCCCCATCTTTATACCAGATGTGGCCTTTCTCAGTCACACACCCACCTGTCTCCAAAAACCAGCAAGTGAAAATTTTGATTCTAAACTTAGATAAACACACATTCCCCAACGTGGGGAAAAGCTTATCAAAAGTAATATGAAACATCACAAAATTAATTCACAACAGGAAGAGAGAACAGAAGAAAAATAATTTACAGACTACAATCAGGTTGCTACTTATCACCAAACTATGCATCACTTGAAGCCATTATACCGAAACAAATAAAATACACTTTGGGTCCAAAACACAAGCTTCTCTCTTCCCACTTCTGATGTTTAATACATTCTGCCATGTAAACAAAGTGGAGTGGCAACTTACTATCCAGGAGGCTCTGAAGAAATTTCCGGAGTAGGGCTGACTGCTGAGCTCTGTAAATGTCAAAAAAAAAAAAAAAAAAAAAAAAAGAAAGAAAGAAAGAAAGAAAAAAAAATAATGTAGATGATTTATTTTGACTCAGACATTTCAAGCCAATGGGAAAAAGAGAGAAGTCACTTTCCTTTTCTAATTTAGATAAGGGCCTCTGTGAGTCGGGGAGCCTGGATGGAAAGGATTTTGGTGCTGATGGAGGGCAGTGCTCTTTCTCTGGGAGGAGAGTGGGCAGGTGGGCTCTCCTACGCCTGGTCTTTTGTGTTCCAGTGGATGGATGCAGCCAAGGCTCTCTCGGCAGGTTAGGAGATGGCCTCCTGGCTCGTACTTATTTTCCATGACTGGCCACCACTGGGCCAGCACACATTAGTGACATGGACAGCACACCCTCCACCAGCTTCTCCCCTGCCACAGACCCCCTGCTGAACCCACTGCAGATCCATTCATGCACCCCAAATGCCACATCCAGAGAGTGTCACCCAACATTTTGTACATTTGGTCCAGAATGTACAAAAGTGCATTTTAAAAGACCACACTGTATTTCAGTAATTTTGTATGCATGCCTGCAGATTTAGAAGTGTGGCAATGGGGAGAAATGCAATTTTGCAAAACCTATTAATGACCATTTCAGCATGAATAAGGGAATGCTTTATAAAATTACCAGGGCGCTATGCAAAAGAAAGAAAACAATCAAGAACTACATGCAGAGAAAAAGTAACATAATTATGTAGTTTAGGGCTTCTGTTGTCTTTGGAGAGAAAAATGCAAAGGGTTCAATATATTTGTTTTAAAAATAATGTGGTAGTTGAACAAATCGATGTAAAAGTAAACCTTTAAAGATATTCCTATTTCTAATAATGATCATATCCCTAATAATGATCATTTTAAGGAAAATAAGCTAGCTAAAGAAGAGACATTTGGGGAAAGGAGAGAAGGAGAGAAAGAAAACAAAGAGATCATGAAAGAGAGAAAAGGAGATGACAGGGAGGGGGAGGCAACTCACCCACCTGGCCCTCTGCCTGCTGAAACCTGTTGGGCTTGTGTCCTTTCATCTCTGAGGGCACCTCTGCCCCAGCATGAGGACTGTACCCAACACCCCCATTATTCCTCAAAGAGGGCAGCCCTCTTGCCTCAACGTGCATCCTCCAGCCCTTTAGGCTGCACTGTCTGGCCTGCCCAGCCTCTCCTCCTTGAGCCTCCCACCTTTTAGCACCTGTCCCATTCTGGTCTTCCACCTCTGAAGACCGTGCCCTGGTCTCCATCTTGGAAAAACTTTTACACGACCCTGTGAGTCCTCTGGGAACACCCCCGCCCTCCCTTCCTTCCATGATCACATCTTTGCATTGAGTGCTGCAGCGCTGCAGGATCCCCTGATTTTTTGCCACATACTCTAACTCCCATCAAGTATTCCCCCAGCAACCTCCAAAGTCTTTAGAAACCTCTTAGTTGTCAAATCCATTGACCTCTCCGTGGAGTCCATCTCTCCAGACCTCCCAGAGCTTTGGGCAGTTCTCATGCTTTCATCTCTTGCTCCATCAGTCGCTTTTCCATACCTCTCTGAACTTCTTTCTCTGCCTCTCTTCTCCTGTTCCATGTCACCCAGCATCCCAGCGGGTAGTTCTTGGTCTCTCATTCTTTCCCCAACATGATCCCCTCTTCAGCTTTCTGTCTACTCCCTGGGCTTTAACCATCACCTCTCTTCAGGTGACTCCAATTGATTTCTTAAGCCCTTGCCTCTTCCATGAGCCCCAGTCTCAGAGTTCCAACCGTCTACTGGATACTCCCTGTATGACACCCAACCAGCACTGTGAAGGTCAATTACCTAAACCCACTTCCTCACCTTACCTCTGGCCTGATTTTCTTCCCAGCTTTCTTATGTGACATACTCATGCTCTCAATCTTCCAGCTGCCTGGCCCCAACCCTCAAGTTGTCTTTGTCTCTGTCCCACCAGTTAGTTAAAATGTCCCATTGCAACGTCCTTGGTGATCTCTCTCACGTCCCCCCCACCCCCATGCTGGTGCACCACAGTGTGGGCTCACCATGACACGCCTGGCCTACCACAATCGCCTCCTTGCCCTTGGAGACTCCAGTTTTCTTCTCCTTTCAATTCAGCCTCTCTAGAGCAATAACACTAATCTTCCTAAAGCACTTCCTGAATTACATCACTAGCCTGAGGGCAAACCCAATCATCTTTAGCCACATTTTCTGAGCCTCTACAATCCAGGGTCAATCTTCTTTCCCAAATCTACCTCCCACTATTCCCACACTCAGTTTCCTATTCCAGCTGAATTCGTCTTTTTCCTTGAATACACCTTAAACATGCACTTCTGTAATGTTCCGACTGTTCTCGTCATGCCGCAAATGGATACCCCCGACTTCTGCCATGTACCAGAGTTCCATCCCCTCTTGAAGATCCTGGCTAACTCCTGAGAAGCCTTCTCTGATTTCCCACATGATTTCTCTCTCTTCTGGCACTTTGAACCTATGCCATTCATTTAGCTCTTGGCAGTCCCTGCTTGGTACTGCCGGAGGTCTTTAATTCACGAGTGTAACTAAACTGTCGAGTTCCAGCAGGCAAAGTCCCATAGCATGTGTCATACACACTCAGGACAAATGGGCACCAGTTAACTGAAATGATGTGAAGATGATTCATTAACATGTCAGATGCTTCTCTGTGCCCGCCTTGACCAGGCTCTGCCCGCAGGGAGGCTGCAGTTAGTTCAGCGGTTCTCCAGTTGCCTACCATCCATGCATAGGTTATGGGAATCCTATTATTTTGGACTACTTTGAAAAAAGCACCTCTTGACTCATTTTTGGCCAATGTGTTATCTCAGACCTCCCATCCTGCATCCCAGCCCACTTTAGAATGTAGCTGCAGCCGCCATGCTCACTCCAGAATTAGCTGGTTCCTACGTTGGACCTTCAACCTCACAGTGGCTACACCTGGTTCTAGTCCCAACCCAGGTTGGAAACTCAGCCCCCTAAACCCGCTCCACTTTCCCACCCTGTACCCATCTGCCTCAATGGTGGGCACATGATTTGCCTCTTGTGCCTCCTCCAAGTTCTAAAGGAGACTCTGAGCCTGACCACTGGCCCTGCCAGCTCCCTCAGTCCTGCTGCCTCCCTGGACTCTTGATCCTACCTCCCCCGACCAGCCTGCAGCTCCTGGGCTTCTGATGCTCTCATCCTGCCCCCTCAGCTGTTGCCCATTCCTCTGGTTTCTTTTCCCCTTCCCTGGTCTGAGTCTCTGGTGCTCACATGAATTTCCATACAAGTCAATCAGGCTGGTGGTCTGACCCTCCTTGTCTTGGTTCTGCGTAAGTATCACATGTTTCCACTTTTCCTGCCATGCTTTGTGGACCTTCCTAGCCTCTTCAGCAGTGTCCACTTTCCTTTTTTTTTTTTTCTCTAAAGATATCCTTTTCTTGTAAGAATCTCTTTTGTCAGGGAGCTCTGGGGACAGTTTTGGGAACATTTGGGTTATTTATTTTTTTTAAGGGAAAGGGTTTCACTCAGTCACCCAGGCTGGAGTGCAGTGGTGCAATCATAGCTCACTGCAACCTTGAAATCCTGAGCTCAAGCAATCCTCCTGCCTCGGCCTCCCAAAGTGCTAGGATTATAGGCGTGAGCCACCACACCCGGCCCACATGTTTTTTTTTTCCCCCTTGGAAATCCATTTACTGCGTGTGGGGGTGTGTGTGTGTCTGTCTGTCTCTTTCTCCCACATACCCTTTAGTAAACATTTTGACATAACTCCCTTTAAAAATATCAACACAGGCTCTGTTTCAAACACTTGTTTGTGTCCAGGCCGTCTGACCTCCAGAGGGCATTTTTTCATTGAGAATTTTCTGAACTTTCCAAGGATAAACACTACTACTCTGACACCACCATGCAAAGAAGAGGCACCCAGATCACTGTGGCTGTGTTTCTGAAAATGATCTCTGAGGTTGGTATCTCCCAGGGCTGCAAAAAAGACAATGAAATTGCCAAAAATGGCTCCTTGAACATTCAGAGAATGTACCAGAGGTGAAGGGAGGGAACTTAAAAGGGCTTCCCCTTGAAAGAGGAGAAAGAGAAAAGGTGGGGGGAGTAGTTGCAGTCACCAACTACTCTGCACATATTTGAAGAATCGCCTTTAAGGAAGATGCCAAGCTCAAAAGAAATCCAAGCAAAAATTAACTTGGGTGGGGGATGAGGGTTGAGAAAGGAACCTAAGACAGGAGTCAGAAAGCCATGCAGCTTAAAATAACCAGCATAACCATCGTCACCTCAACTATGCCAAAATCATAGGACAAAGCAGGACACAAAGCAGAGCTTGGGAAGGAACTGACGGCATGAGAAAAACTAGGAAATACCTGTGGCAGGTTTGCACTGGGTGCTTTATTAAGCGTCTCCATTTTTTCTAAATCTGCCTCTAACTCTGTTTGGCAGAGGTTGAGATCTTTGTCTAGATTAGTCTGGTTCAAGAAAGAAAAGATGGGAAAGAAAGTTTTAGTTTGGAGGAAAGGGAAAAAGAATGGAAGGTTAAGTTTGAAAAATGAAAATTTTTTTTTTTAGTGTTACACTTTCATAAAGGCCAAGATGCCATGACTAAAACACAAGAGCTCACCAGAAATTAGTTAAAGACACAAAAACAGAGAATGTAACATTAGGCTTATAAAATAGGAACTCTAAAGTAATCAGCTTCAAATATCTATTCTACTTGCTAAAGAGAACTACAAATACCGCAAAAACCTACCTTTAAGGAAATACCTATTTTCTCTCTTTTCAGAGTCTGGTGACTGTGACAAATACTATATATGTCAGAAGAATAAGTAATTGCTTAGAAAACCTCTAAACATTAGTATATGTCTTAGAGACTCTGTTAAATAGTTTTATTACCAAGCCAAAAAAAAGTTATTACCAAATTAAAAAAGAAGTGATTTAAGAAAAGAAAACAAACCCACAACACACTCACACTAACCAAGGCTAGAGAGCACACACACAGTCCAACAGAGGAGGCACAGTGGAATTACCTTTCTATCCTCTCTAGGAAGGATAGAGCAGTCTCCAGGAGTATAATCCCATATCTTTTTGGGAGGCTGACGGGAAGCAGAGGAGGAAATGAAGAAATGAGCATAAAGACATAAAGACAAACATGGAGACTGGCTCAAACAGAGAGGGGCACACTGGGAGAACTGTATCAACACAGAGAGTGAACTCAAAAGCAAAGGGAGTGGGCACCTGCCCCGAAAAGGAGCTCTGAGGACTTGGGAGCTGGGACCGTCACCTAGGGGTGTGTTTCTATGTCTGTGTCTCAAGAGCAAATCATTGTTGGATTCTAAATATTGAAAACTTAAAAAAAGAAGAAAAAAAAGGATTAACACGAATTTGAACAAAAATAGAAACTTTTAAATTCCTCATTGTTCTTTTCAAACTAAGATTGATCCTGCAGAGTATACATTTTTGAAGCAGTCGTCCCCTGCTATAAAATTCATCATGTGTTAACAAATCCATGAATCTACAGGTTTGGCCAATGGAGGATAAGCTGAACTAAATGTTCCCTCTATGGTTTGTGGCAATGAAATCTATGCACAAAATGGGTATTAAGTGCATCAATTTTATACAACTAGTTTTAAAATCTCCTTTTACAGATTAACTAGACTTTGATAATACTGCTAGTGACTGAGACATACCTTCTCTTTTCCTTAAAGAACCGGGCTTAAACTTACAATTTAAATAGTGGACTGTGTAAAGTTATTTCCATTTTCTCTTTTACCCTTCATGTTAGAATTAGAGCTGTATTCCTTAGACAGAAATATTCCAGGAGATTCTTAAAAGTTTAACGAGGGAGGGTTTCAGAGGGTAGGACATTCAGAAGTTACGAGTACTTTGAACTCTAGAATCTCTCTCCCACCAAGTGGACCTTTTTGTTCTGCCTACTTAGACTTGAATTTTCTTATATAATGACCTCTGGGATGATCAGAAATGGGATCATTAATGGCTCCAAAAATTTTGTATAAATTGCATCATAACCAACTCTATTGAAGCCTTCAAATTGATTTACACTGTGAAATTTTGACTTGAGTTTACAGATAGAAATCACGTCAACTTCTGTAGAAATTACAGGGAAAAAAAGAAGAAAAAGCTAATCCTCAGGCCCTTTATACTAAATCTGCAAATAAAAAGTAACCTGATTCCAAGGTAAGTTCACACTGAAGGCAACAGGTTAGTTTTGTCATCTCTGTACGTGTATGTTCTGTAGTTTGTAAAGTAAGTGGTATTAGCAATGACCATTCGTCTTTAAGTACTTGATACACTTGGATTGTTCATCTGGGGAAGCAGACTTTTTAAAGTCACTTATGGTACCTCTACTCATTTCTTTCTTACTGGGAAAAAAAAAAAAAAAAAAAACAACAGTGTTTACAAATTAAATTGGTTTTAAGTAATCCTCCCCAAAATGGTTCCTTGAACCATTTGCTGTTCTATAATGACTTGTTAGAGTTAAAAAGCCATCACAGTCAGGATCTTGCTAAATTTCAGTTTATTTTGGGTGGCTTTAAGTGAAGGAGTTGATGAAGAAAAGAGTTCAGGGTGAATGTCTAGTGTCAAAGTTCTGGCAGGCTCTACTCAGGAGAAGTGCTCCTGAGTTGGTATGGGGAAACAATAGTAACTGATGACCCATGTGATTGGGTAAGAATCTTAATATCATTCTGCCTGTGAATGGCTGAAAAATTTTCCAAAACAACTTCCAAGGTCTACACCACTTTTACTCATGTCTCTTACTCTTTTGTCGCAGAGCAGTTGGGGCAGGAAGAAAATTGAAGAAAAAAATCTCTCCCTACCACAACTTCTTCCCAAACTCTGTGGGTTCAACCAGACAATAAGCCCACTCTTAGGATGTCTCAGACCGTAAGGGACTGTTCACCTCAGGACTGCTCCTTGGGATATGGGCATTGATTAAGTCATTTTGGCAAGACTTCAAGAGCATTATTTTTTAAAGTAAGACCTACACAAAAAAGATCAGTCCCATCAGAAGGACTCTCAGGTTTGTGCAAGGAACACACATGGCTTCAGAGAAAATGCCATTTTGGAAAAGCATCTCTAAGTCTTTAAATAATTAAGAGGTAGTTAAAGCAACAGGTAAGGACACAAGTTATAGGAAGTCCCCAATATACAACTGGACTGTGTTCTCAACATTTGTTTTCAGTAGTTGTGTGGTACTCAGACCACAGTTTTCAGTAGAGACAGTGTTAATCTATCAAGCCACTCACAGAGTCTATTTAATGCATGCTGGCAGTGAAATACTTTCTATAAAAAATTATTTGTGCTCGGCGCGGTGGCTCACGCCTGTAATCCCAGCACTCTGGGAGGCTGAGGCGGGCGGATTGCTTGAGCTCAGGAGTTCAAAACCAGCCTGAGCAAGAGCAAGACCCTGTCTCTACTAAAAATAGAAAGAAATTAATGGGACAACTAAAAATATACAGAAAAAATTAGCCGGGCATGGTGGCGCATGCCTGTAGTCCCAGCTACTCGGGAGGCTGAGGCAGAAAGATTGCTTGAGCCCAGGAGTTTGAGGTTGCTGTGAGCTAGGCTGACGCCACGGCACTCTAGCCGGGGCAACACAGTGAGACTCTGTCCCAAAAAAAAAAAAAATTATTTGCGATCATAGATTTAGTAAAACAACCCAATCACAATTAAGCAGAACAAAATTATCCCATAATATTTCCAGAAGCTAATGTTTCAGATAAAACTAGTTATTTGGCAGAGGTGATGGCGAGAAATTTGTGGATTCTGAAAGGGACTTCAAAAATCAATGGCATGGACTCTTTATTAAACATAATTTAAAATAGCTTTTGCTTTCCTTGATGAGAGTATGGCATTATTGTTACATATACCAATCATGGTGGGGTTTTTGTGTGTGTGTGGGTGGAGGGGAGAACTACATGTATCAAAGGGTTTTTTTGTGTGTGAGATAACTGAGGTTTTAAGAAAAAGAACAGGAAAAGTGTTAGGATACTGTTAAATATTTGCATGTGGAAAAGATTGCCTGACGTAGACTTAATTGATGTCTGAAGGGTGAACAGCAGAAAAAAAAAAAGGAGAGAAGGGAGAAGACATGAGGTGTGCACCAAAGCTTTGGGGAGAGAAGAAAGGTGGGTGTTGGCTTTGGGTTAGATGTACTCTCTCCAGCGGTCACTAGGTGGCGCTGTTCATTTGTGATCGCTCAGCAGCTGTCCCGGGACAGCATCTAGGAGGGACCAGAGAGGGAAAAGCTGGCCGTTTGCAAGCCTGGTGCTCCTAACTCAGAAGATGCCTGTACTTTCCAACAAAGCTCAGCACTGCAAAATCAAATTGGCAATTCCAGAGCATCAGTTTAATTTCTCTTTGTCTTCATCTTAACAAAAAATAGACACCATGGAATTTAACATTTACTGAACTGTATTTCCTGTCTGCAAATAAAACTATCATCCCAAACCACAGTAATTCAAAAGCTGGATTCAATGCTTAAGGTCTCATACAAACATCTAATAAAACGTTTTTATACACTTAACTCTTCCACCTGTAAATTCTTTTTACAGCTGTAATAATTAAGACTTTTAAGTAACTAGAGTTTTAAAGTCAGTTTCCAGTCATCTCCAATGGAAGGATGAGCTCAATTCTCTCTTCCATTTGGTATTCCTTCGGGTGCAGGCCTAAGAAAATCCTCCTTTAAGTGCCAAAAGTCAATTTGTACCAAAGCCAATTCAGAGATGTCATGGGGAAGATTAGGCTGAACACTAAATAAGCTGGAATTCCAATCTCCCATCTCAAACTTTGGGAATATTATCCTAACTCACCGAAATCATTCCCAAAAGTTACCTATAATGGGGTTGCCTTTGTGGGTCATATCTGCATAAAGAAGCCTTAGGATGTGACCACTTCCTTTGCATTTGTGCTTTTAAAAAATGCTATTTAAAGCAGTGACGATGCTGGTCTTCTCAGGGTGTAATGCACTTTCCTGTTTGTCTTTAGCAAGCCATAAAGACTTTGGTCAAAGAAGTAACCAATAACCGAAATAATGTCATCCACAAGGCATGTGGTATTTATTGTTACCCACAGGAGGTTCAAAGACAAGCAATGATTATTTGGTGTCTCTCTGGGATATTCTGTCAAGACATTCTTCCAGAGCTCACTGTCCTTTCTTGGTGAAGCAAGCAAAGGAAAGTTCACAGGTTGTAGTGAGATTATCCTACTATAGACGACCAATACAACTGTTCCTCACTCCCTGAATTCTTTATAAATAGATCTTACTCTTTAGCAGCAACAATGCACCAACAGCATTATTTTAAAAGGTGTAAAACCACTGAAGCTATTAAACTTACCGGTTTCCCAAACTCCAATTCCGAAAAGAATTTATACCAAGGTTCATTCTTTAAATCTATCTCTTCTGGGCTTATATCCCGACTCTATAGGGGTTGGTGATAGGGAAATGGAAGAAAGAGAAGGATAACATTATGCAAAGATTACATAGGAACAGGCCAGTAGAGATGCAGTGGTTTCCAGGTATATTTAGCAACTGCATTCAATAGCAGCAATCATCTGTTTTTACTGGTATCAGCAAAAACAGGAGGGAGAGGATGGGTTTATAAAAACAGGGAAACTGAGGCAGGTAGCAGTGAGTGAATCATTTTCAGGCCTAAGGCAGAGGCAAATGGACAGCAGATGGAGAATTCTGCATCACACGGCTGCCCTCCACAACAAATCTGAATATGGGCACAACAGCATCCCTTAATAATTTTCAGTATTGTGGAAGAAAAGAAAGCCTTTATTTCCTCTTTACAAGAACTATTAGTTACGAGAAATAACCTGGTGAGCACACCAAACATTTAGCCACCTATGCCAGCTGAGTAGAGCAAACAGTTTTTACAGTTTTAGTACTGGTTTGCAAGGCTGCCTTAAGGTTTTTAAAATAAACACAAATACTGACACTTTATAAAAGCCAATTGGTTAATACTGCATCTTTAATGGCACATGAATAGGTGAGAAACCATGTCCCGTACACAGTAAAGTGAAAGATGATATAAGTAAAAACAGAAGACACAGTGAAAAAACATTTTAAACAAGCATCCAGGGGGATGAATACAGACAGAATATACTTTGTGTTCTAATGAATACATGTTAAAGAGCCGGGAAAAAATAAAGTGAGGGAAAAGCCGGACAAGACAGATAACAGAACAGGGGTGAAAAAAACTCCTGGATCATGTTAGAAAAATAAGTTAGATTTCTCACTTTACATAACTCTAAGAGGTATCACATAGACTGATAATTTGATTCCATGGGATGTAATATTTAATCAAATATGTATACAGTTCTGGCACCTTACTCTGTGGAGTAACATGTGTTCCTGGAAATAATTAGTTGGAAAATGAATGCCTAGAAAGCAAATCAGGTTTTCCCCTTAACAGACACATTTACATTAGACAAAAGTACCTGAGGTTCATGGTTTAATTAAATTTTTATATGCATATATGTTTCAAAAAACTTTGATAATCACAAAAAAGAGAGACGGTGGTTTTCTACAATAATTTGAAACATAAAGTGTACACATTTTCTACTGAGATTGAAAACACACAAGGAACGTCAGTACTTCCAGGCTTCAACACCTGAGGAAGGGGTTGCCACGTCTCCTGCCCAGCTCTGTAATGCTACTACTACTTTGCAAGGCAGGTCTTCCTGAACGCCTTTCTTCATGCAGTTAACAGTCCCTCTGCAGCTTGTAGAAATGGCTGAAAATTTTCCCAGTGATCTTTACCAACCCCTTCTTCTAAGACCCTTAGAAGAATCTTTACCATTACTTCCACTTTTGCTAGGTAGAGGAAGATATGGATATATGGTAGAGAATCTTTCTTTAACTGAAATTAAACTATGATGAAGTCAGAGGGAAATATACATGGAAACACGAGGTCTATCCACTTGCATCCAGATAAAATCTCCTCCAATTGTCTTTAGGGAATTAGGGCTTAAATCTTGAAGAGGAAGGCTTGTCCTCACTGCAGCAAATAGAGTCTGTATTTATTCAGTGAAATGAGATACTACCCACAAGGATACAACTATTGAGGAGTGATGGTTTAGACACTGGGACATTCTAGATCCTAACATGATGGGGTTTACGCGAAACCTATTTCACGTTTTTTATTTTTACAAAGATTATTTATAAACTGCTCTCTGGGAATAGGTTAGGCTTTTTTTTAAAAAAAAAAAAAATAATGTACTAACTCTCGGGAAACTGCCTGAAAGTTCTGGCACTCACAGTCCTGAAAGAATTAACCCATTTTATTCCAGAAGATTGTCTGCAGATGGTTTTGCTGCAGAAGTTAATGCTGTGCCAAGAATAGGATCAGGGGGTATGTCAAACAACTTGCGTCCACGGCAGCAGACCTAAGTCCTTTGAGCTGCCCAGAGATACAGGTAAAAAGGTGACACCACATAGCACCAACATCTGCATTTGATTTTGCCATGTATAACTCAGCTGTAGATCCGACTATGGAACAGGCCAACAGAAGACAACCTACTGGATACAGAGCAGGAACTCTGTCCTGGCAGGCAGGGGAAAATTTCATAATGCCAGGTGAAGTTCTTTGGTACTGCGGGCTATTCTCCCGGCTCAAAAAAAAAAAAAAAAAAATCCCTGGAAAGGGCAGGTAACTGGCCAGGAAAATGCCAGCTTCTCCTGAAACACAGTTTTGCTGCTTGAATGGGGGCCAGAGACCAGCTTCGAATTTCAATTAGATCGATCATCTGAATGTGGTATGTTTGTCTGTGCAGTCCTCTATAGCATTCACAGTTCCTGAACCCACATTATCACACTTGACCCTCTCACTCAGGGATTCAGTGAGGTTGTGGGCCAGATGATACTTCTATTCACAGGTGAAAACACTGAGGTTCAGAAAGGTTAAGTGGTTTGCCCCAAGACATAAGACAGAGTCAGAACTGGAACCCAGAACTCAGATGTTCTAATTCCTAGCCCAGTGCTCTTTACACTATGCTATGATATATTCCATTTCTCATACTCCAAATGAGAGGGGCTGACCCACCAGGACTGCTGAAGCAGGGCTGAGTGACCAGTTCAAGAAACCAGGGAAGGAACTCAAAGTGATAGTGGATTGGGAAGAAACCAAGCTAGGTAAATGCCCTTGTTTCACACTTCCAAATAAATACCATGTCTGTAATTGCTATTTTAATATGTGTCCTTCCTGTTGTACACCTATGGGAGCAGGACCTCAACGTCTAACCCAGGGCTTGGCACGTACGTTATTCTATGTGTGTTATTTGTTGAATTGAGCTGAAGTTCTGCAAGGGACTTTAGAGGAAAGTATAAAGGAAAAAAGCCTGAAAAAGGCCATTTCTGAGAAGGCAGGGACTGACCAATAGCTTTCCAATTCCAAGACCAGAAGAAAATGCCTCCCTACTATGGTAAGAGAAGACCAAGTAGGTATGGAGACCTTCACATGAGTCTGTCAAATAGGCAACTATGTCACCAAGGTCATGAGTCTTCTATGGGGGAATCTGAAGGCGGTACACTGCTTCTCTCATTGTCCGGATGGCTTGGGTAAGCTCCACGGGCAGGATGAGCTCTAGGGCAGCCTTTATAGTCCACATTCAACCCTTCCTGCTAACAATATATACAATTGCCACAATTTAAACTGCCAGAGTTAAACAGACACAGTACCTCAAATGGAAGAAAAAAAAATTTTTTTTCCAAAATGAAGTAGTATGTATCTGAGAGCAAACTTAGATTCTACATCTATCACTAGTTAGTATACACACCCACAGTTGACAGCAACAACAAAAAGTGTGTGTAGGTGGCGGGTAGTGTTCAAATTCTGGCAAACCAGATATTAGATACCAAAATGCAAGATGTACACACTGAAGATCACATTCCAATTTTTCTGTTCATATGATAAAAATAGGAATAAACCATAAAGGACTAATTCAACTACTATGAAAGGTAGAATGTCAAAAGATTAAGATTTGACTGAAATTTCTCTCTAAAATTAAAAATTTCTCTTTGGAAGAATAGAGCTAAATTGTGTGAAGGGCACTAAATTAAACTATTGAATAGTTACGTTCTTCCCTGGCCTGCCTTTGGTGTTTATGTCCTGTTAATGGAGTAAGCCTAAGGCGTGGAACAACACAGAGGAGATTCCTGGGTAGGGGCACCCAGACGGTGCTTTGCAATCCACACATATGCTCACCGCACTCCCCGAGACCACCCCCAGCGGGCACTGTGTGTTACTTTTCACGGTGTGTAAAAACAATGTAAATGATCCCAAGAACCACAGCATGGAAGAGTCTCATAACTATTATGGTATCAATGAGAAAAACTAAACTATGTTGTTATTTTTCCTAGTTCTGAATAGTGGCTACATTACTAGCAATCAAGGAAAGAAGATGGAAACAAAGAAGAAATTAAGAAAAGGGGCGAGCTGCTGACAAGAGCCCTGACAGCTTATGAATGGTAATAGTGCCGAAACAAAAACACTCAAATGCCTATAGAGTCCCTGAAGTCATTTAAATGTACTAATATGTTATGATGGGTCCCAGAATCATTATTAAAGTATTAGGAATATACCTGAAGAGCATGACTTTCTTTCCCAGAACACCTGGGTGGAGGGTTACCTTTCGTGTTTATTACGTACAAGGTACCCTCTAACAGGCAGAGAACCTTGGATGGAGCGGGAGCCGGACGCTAACTTCTCTGCTCCTCTCTGGACTTTCCGCTTGAAATAACTGTGGCGCCCCGTAAATGCTGAGGAATGACAACTCTGAAAGTATTTCTGTGACCTCTTGATCTTTTTTCCCTAACTAAAATTACTTATCTCTCTGTGCTTTTAAAGATGTCACATTTTCATTTCAGTAAAAGTCAAATTGATTCTTCCTTAAAAACATGTAGAGCAGAAGAGGCGGAGGGAACGTAATTTGAGCCTGCATTTCAGAGGCCTGCTTACTCTGCACATGCTGTGGGAGCAGCATTTTCATAAAAGCCAGCCCCCAGCATGATAATTCCATCCTGCCGTCATGTTGAAGGGCTGCTTTGGAGAACCCCTCTAACCTGCTTTGGAGAACCCCTCTAACCAGGATCACAATTCTGAGCCAGCTTTTTCTAACGAAGTTCTAATAAAATGAAGTATGATTGGCAAATATGAAACTAATCAGTTTGTGAAAATTCTTCCCGTTTCACAGAGGAGGACGCTTTCTCAGGTTGGTCTGCTATGCCCATCCAGGCCATCTTCCCCGCTCATAATTGCTTAGAGATGTAAACTTGTGCAGGGAACCGTAAACCAGACTGAATATGAAGTTAGTCCTCAACACGGCACTTGTCAAAAAAGGTAGACCTAAAAGACATACTGTAACAGCCTGGGGCCTTTTTTCTAAGTTATAACATCCTATTAGTTATTTAGCTTTTAATGATAAATAAAATTCTAGAACTGCTACAAAATGTATACATGTTCAAATAAGTCACTTAAAAAAAAACTGGACTCCAGTTAACAACAAGCCTGATAAATCAACAGTTAGACATTAAAAAAAAAGACAGCAGCAAAAATCTGTATGTTAGGGGGAAAATTAATATTAGTTAAAACCATGCACAAAAAAAGCAACAGAGCCACAATAAGAGGATTCTTTAAAAACAGACTCTCAGGACTTATTTTATGAACACCTGCAAAAATGAAAAGGGTAAAAATGCTTCATTTTTTCATTGTCTTCTAAACGAAGCAAGTCTATCTCAAGGGGAAAAGAATGTGATCCAGCTGTCTGCATGATGCATCCGGATTAAAGAACATGGGCAGGGTGGGACAAAAGAACTTCGATATGCACATTACCATCTTTTCGTTGGTCAGAACGGAAGACTTGCCCGGCTGATATTCGTAAATGCTTTTGGGCTCTGCACGGTATTTTCTTGTATCCACTTTCTTATCTGGGGGCTCCCAGTCGTTTCTGTAGAAAGAAAATCCTGTTAGAGCTATTTTCATGAAAACTGGCATCAGCTTCTGATAAGGTCTGACTTTGATTGGCGGCAGTCTAATCAAGGAATTTTTATATCCAAAGCACAAAATCAGAGTCAGGGCGATCAATGTAGTTGTGCTGGTTTGCTTCTCAAAACAACCGGTCAAAGCTCTGTGTTAACTTCGCAAAGGGCTCGAGGTATCCTATGCTCAAAACCAGGTACCAGGAAGCAGAGAGAAGAGAAAGAAGCAGGGAGGGAGGAGGAAGCAGCAACATTGGCTCTGGAAAAATCTTTTACCATGCTCTGCTCTCATGAGCTTATCATTCCCCAATCATGCCTGTACTTCCCACTTATGCTAGTACCATAAGGGAGAACACTGGTCCTGGAGCCACTCGATTTGTGGTTCAAATCTCTGCTACACCACTTGCTAGCTAGGTGATCTTAGACAAGCACTTTACCTCCTGGTACCTCAGTTTCCTCATCTGAAAAACAGGGGTTGCTATATGGATTAAATGAGACAGTGTATATAAATCACTGAGCAGAGTGCTAAGCCCATAGTAACCACTCAGTAAATGTCAGCTGTTGCTGTAATTGTATTCTTCCCTACTCCACTACCCGCCAATTTCAGCCTTTGGCACAGATACTTAACCTGGTGTCCAGTGATGGGTTTCAGAGGATACATGAATCCTTCGAAATTGTAAAATTGTTTGCAATTTTTTTTGAGACAGAGTCTCACTCTGTGTCCCAGTCTAGAGTGTGCAGTGGTACAATCATAGCTCACTGGAGCCTTGAACTTCTGGGTGATCATCCTCACCTGCCTCAGCCGCCTGAGTAGCTGGGACTATAGACACATGCCACCATGCCCAGCTAATTTTTTTTTTTTGTAGATACCAGGTCTTGCTGCATTGCCTAGGCTGGTCTCAAACTCCTGGCTTCAAGTGATCCTCCTGCCTCAGCCTCCCAAAGTGCTAGGATTACAGGCATGAGCCACCACGCCCAGTTTATTCATGTGCATTAGTATATGCTGCACTGTGATTGTATTTAGTTTTTCATGCAAGCTGTAAACTTCTTGAAGGCAGAGACAATAATTTATATACACTTATATTCTTCCGTAACACCTGGTTCAATCTGCACAGAATGCACCCAGTAGGTGTTTAGTGAATGTACCTGTAAATGGTATACACGGCCTTCCTATTAATTATTAAACTTCTCAGGTAGATGCCACTTAAGTATGTATGGTGCTTTGAAAACAGCCATTCATGTTTTGTCTATGAAGATGGAAAAGGTATAGAATTATGAAACTGGATGTGTATTTAAGGGAAAAATAAATAATTTTGTTTGGCCAGAGCCTTCTGTGTGTTGAGAAGTGGTGGAAGTTGGGGCTGGAAAATGATGGGACACCTGTCCAAACAGCATGAGAAGTTTGCTCCATAGGGAATTTTTAGAGATTAAAAACTCAAGGAAAAAAAAATTGGGTTGTTTAGTGCAGGTATTAAGAGGTTACTAATGCTGCCATTAAAACAAGTCAATGAGTATGTCTCAGTAATACATGTTGAATGAATAAATGGACATTAAAAAGTGGGTTCATTTTAAAATTACAGTCTTTGCTGTATGTGAACACAGTATGCACATAGAATATGAAAATTTGACAAATCTTGCAGTTAAGATTTCTCTTGTGAAATTATAAAAAGTGGTAATTATAGTGAACATTAATTAAGCCCATACTATGAGCCAGGTACTACTAGGAATGTTGTATGTATTATCTCATTTTATCCTTGCAATATCTCTATCAAGGAGTTGTGCTATTTTTATCCCCATTTTACAGATGAGGACACTGAGACTCAGAAAGAGTAAGTCACAGCTAATAGGTGACAGAGCAGGGATTCAAACTCCACATTCCTAAGAAAGGAGGCTCCCAGGTCTCCATGAGCATTGACCAGGCCATGGCAGGTAACAAAAAGGTGGGGAGGTGGCACTTACCTTTCTGGGCTGGACTTCAGTGAGGAAGAGCGGGCTGGGAGGGGTAGTGTGGCCGACCTCTTAACTACCTTCTCACCGTCAAAGCAGCTCATCTCACTTTTTGAACGAGGCACAGAAAGGGGAGATTTTGCTGCAGAAATGTAGTTCATATAAACAACTTCAAACTGATGAAAATGGACAACAAGATGGTATCTTCCCTCATCCACCACCTTCCCTTCCTCCTCCCCCGCAACCAGGAAATTCAAAGTCACTTACTGTCTTCAGAAAAGGAGTATCGAGGAGAGTACAGATCTGAATCATCATCTATTGAACAAAACAAAACGTAGTCAGGAGAAATCCCGCTCAGGTAAGAGAGCCCGGCTGCACGTTCCCCACTTCCACAGTCGGGCACCGGCATCCAACCCCACCCAGGAACCCAGCGGAGAGAGGAGGCGTCAAGCGCTGGAAGCCACACCACAGCAGACGGCGTTTGAGAGGAGCAAGGTTCGCAGAGTCCACCCCACCGCACCTGCAGTCCGAGCAGGGCATTCACAGCACCTGGAGGATGACTGCTGCCTGACACCAAGGAACGCATGGGGACAAATAGCCCAAGGCCCCCTCGAAAGAATCCCTACAACCAAAGCTGGAACACAGGGTCCACGTCTGGCTGAGATGGACCCCCGCTGCCCCCGCTCGGTCCCTGGTCCAGCCTGCCGAGTCCCATGGGGTCTCAAGAGGCCCCTTCCCAGGGCGTCTAGGATGCTACTGGCTGGGAAGGAGAAGCCCAGAGGCTGTGTTTTCCAGGTCCCACCTCGGCTTTGACCTATTTTATATATTAAGCTTCCATACACAGCATCATTAACAAAGAGGTTCTGCAGTAAGAAAATAGTTTGAGAAAACGCTCATCAAAATTTGTTTTGATTCCACGTCAATCTGTTCCCTGAGTAGATTTCTTTCCTTGGAACACAGCACACCACAGCTGATGTGGTTGTATGGTTTGCTCTGCAAAGGTGCTACTTGGGTAAGTGTCTAAATTGTGGCTCTGGAACAAATCAAACTCACACTCCCGTGAGTTTCTATGGTGGATGAAGTCTCTCCACGGGCTTGACACACATCCCTACATAAGCGGAACCCTGGGGCTCTAACACTTGCAGAACCAGGGACAGGATCTGAACCCCTCATGGAAGTGGCTGTATTTTCTGAACTAAAAATCAGACCGTAGGCATACTTCCGGGAACAGTTTTTAAATAGGGACTGTCCTAAAAATGCAGGACAGTCACTACATCCACAATGACCCCTCCAAAGCATTACTCCAAAAAGATTCTGAAACAGCCTTTCCCATTTTCTAATTCTGAACTCAAAATTCACATGTTTGGAATGAAGGCCCAATTCCTTCCCTTAAAATCCATAACAACTTTAGCAAAGCACATGAACTAACCTTAAAGACAAGGCAAAGAATCCAATATAATATGTTAATGACTGTTACTCGAGTCCTTATTTCTATGCAAACCATTTTAAGTTTCAGAGCAGAAAAGGCCAGAATAGTTTATAAAATGTAAACAAAGCTAACATTGCTATATTTTGAACAAAGCACTATTCAGACAGCCTCGCTGTCACCCCTTCTTGTCCCCCCTCCTTTTCCCGTTTTTGTCTAAGTCTCCCTCGGCCCACATAAGGGACAGGCATCCGGTACCGAGATTTCAGAGCAGAAAAGCCCAGAATATTTTATAAAATGCAAACAATTAGTCAATATCAAGGTTGAACAGGGCTTAAGGCTCTTCTACCAACACAGCCAAGCTTTTCACCATTTTAGATTGAGTGTCTAAGCTTAAGTTAACTTCTGAAAATAGGGCAGGGAAAGGAGATAAAATGCGATCCAGAAATAGATTTTTTGAAAGCCTGTTCAGAAGAATTGTGTGCTGCTAGTTTTGGTTTTATTTGTTTTTTTTTTTTTTTTTTAAACAGAACTTCTGATTATTGTACTGATAAAATGTCATGGTGTCACAGAAAACTAAAAATCAGCTTTCATTGCAGGGATTTGATTAGAAAAAACGGTGCCTGCCCCAGATGAAAAGTTAGGTTAGGCAGAAATCGATGTATGTGCTGCTTAAAATGCAGCCTAGCATTTCAGCTCAAAACCCTGTACCTCTCTGAATCATGGAGAAATCACAGCCTATCAGTAGATGATGAGGTAAAGGTTAATTTATAACTACTACCTGGTTCATGAAGTAAGATGCAAAGTTTTCACAGGGGGTGGCGACCAAGGGGAGATTCAAATATTCGAAGATTTTTTTTTAAAAAGCCTGAGCTCTTTAAAAAAATCTTTCTCCCTAGAGCTTTCTAATGTTGAATTCTAGAAGGTTTATTAGAAGAAAATGAGAAATAGCTCTTACGAGATGGGGAAAAAATAGCACTGCTTGGGAAGTTCAACAATTTAGGTGCTTTGAAAAGGAGAGGGAGAAGTAGGGAAGTTGGGGGTGTGCGCAACAGAGAAGTCTGAATGACTGAATGCTCCTAAGTTCTGTGGACTTTTAAGAGGACAAACTAAAGTTGTGTGGATTCACCTGAACAATTTTAGCAATTAGGACAAGTTCTGGGGATGTATAATTTGTTCTTTTAATGCCTGTCTTGCAAATCTAATGGAAGTAAATTTTACTTCAGCTTATGAATAAAAATAGAAATAGTAGCTCCCATTACTAAGTACTTAATAATAGCTGGTGATTTACTAATATCATCTCACTTAAACCTCACAGAAACTCCAGGAGGAAGTAAATATCTCATTTTACAGACAAGGAAACTAAAGCCCAAGCAGGTTAAGAAAATTTGCCCTTGGCTGCACAGTGAGAAAGAGACAAAGCAGGAACAGACTCAAGATCTCTTTGACTTCACTTCCCTGTGTCACCTCAGCCCTGTGACAGGCACAGCTGCTGCATAGCTTTCACTCCAGTTTCATCTGCCCAGTCCTGAGAAAGCTGAAAGACTGTGGCTATTCCATTATCATTGTCATTTTAGAAGAGGCAGAGAAAGTCTTAAAACTCAAGTTATGTTCCATGCATGCTGTTGGCCAGGCCAATTTCTAGCTCCCAAAGCCTTTGCTCTGTTTTTCCACATCACCCCATCTTGGGTGATGCTTAAGCAAGTTTTCTGACTTACCCTACATTTCTAGTTTTCCTCCTGCTAGTCCCCGGGGACAAGGGGTAGCTCCTCCTGGTAGGCTAAGTCCACACTGGGGAAGATGGGTATGCACTTGGAAAAACCAAGGAATGGGAAAACTGGGTGTGAGGAGCACCCTTCTGCATTTCTATACACTAGAGCTAGCCAAACGGAATGTGTGTGCGCATGCGCATGGAACCATAGTTAAGACACATCGAAGGAAAGAAACGTTCCAGTTGCCAATCATCTGAAACCCTGCCCTATTTCTCCAAGGGCTCTTTAAAATAATGCTGTAGCGGGCTCAGCCGTGCAAAGATCTTGTGATTCCTGTTCGTGGTGGAACCACACACTAATTGTGTCCCTCAGAGCATCAAGCAGCAGACATCAAACCTTGGCAGCAACGCTAAGAACTTCCTATGCCAGTGATTTCCAGGAAGCACTAACATTAAGCAGGATTTACACAGGCTAACAACTCACTTAGGGCCCTGAAGGCCCCTGCTGGGCTCTGATGTTTACACGCGAATGATTCTCCACTGGGCTTTGGCAATCTGTCCTGAGTAACTCATTTTGGGGTCAGCTACTCTCCTAAAACTGCCAGGAGCCACATAATTGCCTTTTCAACCACAGTTACCTTAACTGAGCTTCCAAGTGACTTTTTTTCCCTGTTTTTTTTTTTTTTTTTTTAAGAATTTATAAAAATCATAAAGACAACTGGTGAAAGTGCTGGTTGACAATTGTTCTTCTATAAAAAAACTATGTGACTAAAATGGAATCATGGGCAAAAAGCAGCACTTGCATAACCACTTATTTATATCAATTAAATTCCACTTTTACGCATTCCATAGGCCTTTAAACTTAAAATGATTTTTCTAATATTAATGGCTCATTTTCAATACAATCTTTTTTCAATTGCTTAACATAATTCCTTCTCTGGCTTTACCCCACACACTTAGGAAGAGAAAGGATAAAATAGAAAGGATACACACCTCCTACAAACAAAAATAGTCAAAGAAAGAGAGATGCACGCAGAGTTGGGCATAGAGCCTGGGTGGGACGGGAGAGGAAGAAGCGGCCAGAGAGCCAGGAATGCCAGGACGTCCAGGTGGCTTGGGGGAAGGGTCACCAGGCTGTCTACATGCTGGTTAAAGGCAATCAAGTTTTGAGAGATCGAAAAAAGAGCAGGATAGGGTATGGAGTAGCTATAGAAGACATATCCAGAAAGAAAAAAAAAAAAAGAATTTTCAGGAAGAAAATGAAGTGGAGCAAGAAAAAAGTTAAAGGAGAAAGCCTGCGAGGACCAGAAGGCTGGAAAAAGACTCACCGTCCTCCTCTCCTACCGGATTCCTGGGTCTCAAAGGTGTAAAGAGAATAACTGCTACCGTTTCTTAACTATCCCGCAGGCCGAAGACTTTTGTCCTTGCTAGGCGGAGCCCTCCTGGGCAGCTCCCGTTAGGAGAGCAAAGGTGACCGCTGCGAGCAGCACAGCCCCTCCTCTGGGCAGTGCTAGCTGGAGTTTGGGGCAGGAGGCACAGATCCTGGCCAGGCATCTTCACAACAGAACAGTTTGCTTAAACTTAAGCAAAATAAGGCTATTCTTAGAAATCCTGCAAGGCCAGTAGAGGATCATTTTAACTCAACTACAGATGTGCCTCAGAAAATCAGCCTCCTTAAATCCTCGCTTTAGTGCAATCTCAGCTAGGAATGAGGACAAAGCACTTCGAGGCCACAACCTGGGGATGCCTAGAGGGCGTGTCCTGGGTCACATCAATAAGAGGTGGCAGTGGCCACCACTGGCTGAAATAGTCCTTCATCCCGACATGGCCCACTGGGTCCTCACAGACCACAGACCAGGAAGTAACATACCAGTTACTTGGTTTTGCTGCAGATTCTAAGGTATTATTTCAAAATATCTTCCCTTTTCTTGACATCAAACATGCCAAGTGAGCAAACATCATTTGAGCACATTCAGCGCAGAAATTCTAGCTCTTTCGAATCTGTACTCCCCACTCTAATTCTATATCCAAATTCCCAAAATTGCGTCTGGGCAAGTATCTTCGCCCCTTTTAGGGGGCTGGGGAAGGGTGGTGTTCCTCCATCCTGGCTGTGTGTCACAATCACTTGGGGAGCTTTGCTAACTACATATCCCCAGACACCATCCTGGGAGACACTGG